CCTTATTGCCAGTTACATTAAATATGGTATATGACAAGAATTTCTTAATACTGTACTGTAGTCAACATCCGTGTGAGCATATACAATGACCCCCATGCAGAAAAAGGTGGAAAAGAAAGGCGGTAAGAAGAACGGGATGAGGGGCACCTGGGTGGCTCAGTCGGTTGAGTGTCTGACTTTGGCTCGGGTCATGATCTCACAGTTTGTGAGTTCAAGCCCCACATCAGGCTCTGTGCTGACAGCTCAGAGCCTGGAGCCTGCTTCGAATTCTGTATCTCCCTCTCTTTCTGCCCCTCCCACATTCGCACTCTGTCTCTCTCAAAAATAAATAAACATTAATAAAAAAAAATTTTTTTAAAGAAGAAGGGGATGATTACAGTGGAAGAAAGACATCACGAAGTACAAATGAGGTATGCAAGTAGCTGGAATTGCAAGATTTCATAAGAAGTCTAAATCTGTGTCTTGTCTGCAGAGGAGGAGGAGAAAAAGGTGGAGGAATCTCTCACTTCAAATGAAATTAGGGAGATGTGTAAAATGTGGGAAACAATGCAAAATTTTGTAGAAAAGCACCACCCGAATAAGGCTGTAGCAGTGTGCAAGCAATGAATCTGTTTAACAACAATGCAAGGTCACATTTCTGTGAAATCCTCAAAAGGAGGCAAAAGCAAGTGTCATTGGATAGGTTCCTTGTTAAAGTTGCATGAAAAGAAAAAGATACCATTGAGCCAAAAGACAGCAAAGATTCCATTGGTGAGAGTGAAAGTCTTCCTACACAACAACCCTCCTCTCTCATCTCCTTCACATGAACCAGGAAAGTTTTCAAAGGTAAGTGCAGGTTATTTTTTCTTCATATTTTGTATTATATTACAGTATTCTGATCATTTTTATTTTTATTTATTTTTAAGTTTTTTAACATTTATTCATTTTTGAGACAGAGTGTGAGGAGGGAGGGGCAGAGAAAGAGAGAGACAGAATCTGAAGTAGGCTCCAGGCTCTGAGCTGTCAGCACAGAGCCCGATGAGGGGCTCGAACCCACGAATTGTGAGACCATGACCTGAGCTAAAGTCGGACACTTAACCAACTGAGCCACCCAGGCACCCCTTGTGATCATTTTTATATAAATATTTTTGGGTTGTGGAACGAATCATCTGAGTTTCCATTATTTCTTATGGGGGAATTTTCTTTGATATACAAGTGCTTTGCATTACAAGCGTGTTTCCAGAATGAATTATGTTCACAAATCAAGGTTTTACTGTATTATGCTAAGTGAAATAGTCAGACTGAGAAAAACAAACACCATACGATTTCACTCACTGTGGAATCTAAAAAAAAAACAACAAAACAAACAAATAAATAAGCAGAATCAGACCTGTAAACACAGAAAACAAACTCATGGTTGCCAGAGGGGATGGGGAGTAGATGGGCAAAACAGGTGAAAGGGAGAGAGAGATACAGGTTTCCAGCTACGAAATAAAGAAGTCACAGGAATAAAAGGCACAGCATAAGGAATACAGTCAATATTATAATAGTGTTATATGGTGCCAGATGGCAGCTACACTTGTGGTAAGCATAGCATAACGTTTAAACTTGTTGAAGCACCATGTTTACACCTGCAGCTAATGGTAACATTGTGTGTCAACACAACACTCAAATACAAAAATTAATAATAAAAAAATTGGTGGTCTTACCAAAAGAAGTTGAACCTATGCATCTTAGCTTCTTCTTGTCTGTGGCACTTGCAAAAATTGCTGCAAACCTACTTTGTTCTATGACTTAAAATACTTAAATCACTACCTTGCACACACACGCACACACACAAAGTAGAATTAAAGGAGTTTGTTCCAGTGATGAAAAATTTCCATATTTTCATAGGGATGTGAATAACAGGGGTGGACAATCAGCCAAAACTCATTTGACTGTGCAGAGATGCACAGAAAAGTGCCAGAAGCCAAGCTATCCAACCAGCCTGATGGCAGGGCCCAGGCGGTGGACGGATCGGGACTGCATGGCGGCCCACCAAAAGTGAAGCTTCTTGTACTCCTGCTTTTATGTAATTTGGCCTTAGCGATGGTCAGGGCAGCCTCCCTACCAATGAAAGTACATGGGGATTTGTTGATTGGGGAATTGCCCATGACAGGCCCCTCGGGGAAAAAAACCATTGGGGAAAGAAAGAAGATTCTGCAGGGAAATTAGTGGCCCTACATCCAGCCTTTGCCACCCCCTATAAAGACTCCTCTACCTAAAGGAAGGATAGCCCCATATATTTCCCAGCCAAGGAGGGGGACAAATGGGTTCGAAATCCCCCAATTCCATTAACAAAGGAATGTATCTATGGATACAAGTTACTCCAACCCCCAGGCCCACTTGGCCGCCAGAAGGCATTCCAGAGCATATCTGGACCTGGTGGGTTAAGGTACAGAATGGTTCATTAGTTCCTAGGTATACATTGTCTCTCTGGGAGCACATAAGGCATGGGTTCCCAGGGCCCTCTTTCCTCCCTCTGGGCACCCCAGACCAAAGCGAATACTTTTGTTCCTTGTATCCCAGATGGTTCAAAGGAACAATTAAGAAGTCATGTCCCTGTAAAGGTTCCACTTGAGGTGTTGAGAGCTAGATGACCTTGAAAGGACAAGAGAAAATGTTACAAGAAAATAACTATGTTGTTCCTTAACGGGTGATTACACAAAAGAACATTTTTAGAATTAGGTAATGCCAGAAAGCATAGATGACACATGCTATAAGGAATTTGCTAACAAATACAATGCCATGCTTGCCACAATAAAGTGGCCTATCTAACACACTGCTATTGTCTGTGTCCATTTGTTATTTTCGCCGACGCCATTCATCCTTCAGGAACCCCTGGACCTGCTGGGGCTGGACTCTGGCAGAAAAGTGACAGAGTAAAACATTATCGATAGAAACTAGATGGTGGACCCAGGAGTGTTCACTGCACAATTCTTTCAATTTTTTGAGCGTGTTGTAAAATATCCAAGATACGTACACCGGAAACTGAAATTAAAAACTTAATAAAAATTAAATAAATAAAAACTCCTTGTTTAATCACGGTCAGAAATAAAAAAGAAGAAATGCACATCCAATGACCCAATCATTATTCTCCTGGGTATATACTCAACAAAAATGCATAAACATAAATCAAGAGATGTGTATTTTAGTATATGTGCTGCCGAAGCGAGCACAAGAGATGTGTATTTTAAATCTTATGGTGGCATCGTTTATGCTGAGCAGAATTCTATTAGCAAAATGAGTAATATTTATTCACAGATACAAGAATCGGGGGAAAAGCCCATTCATGTCCTTAAGAAATAAATGTCAAAAATAATTTTGCATTTTATATTTAATAATTGCATGTCAAATTATGTAATGACTTATGTCCTTTGGCCATGTGTATACAAATAATAGTTGTAATAAAAACCCAATTCAGTACAAAAACATTTTTTAATAAAAAAATAAAATATCCATGATAAAATGTTGGCAATCTTTCAATTAAAAATTAAAGATTTGGGGCACCTGGATAGCTCAGTCGGTTGAGCCTTTGACTCCGGATTTTGGCTCAGGTCATGATCCCAGGGTTCTGAGATCAGGCCCTCCACTGAGTGTGGAGCTTGTTTGGGATTCTCTCTTTTTCCCTCTGCCCCTCTCCCACGCCCGCGCGTGCTCTAAAATTAAAAAAAAAAAAATTAAATTAAGTTAAAATTAAATATTTATTTTAAAAATAAAAATTAACTCTACACCTAAGATGTATTCATTACACTGTGTATTAATGATACCTCAAAACAAAACACCAGAACTAAGGAGGGGCTCGGTTAAAAACGGAATAGAAGGAAAAT